AACGCTTATAAGTGTGAAAAATGGTCAGAAATTCCATTTTTCAATCTCATTCTAAATTCAAATGGTAACTAAATGAACTGTTGTATGTTGAGGTCTACCTGTAGTCTTGAACTGGCTTGTGTAGAGCAAAAATTATGTATGCAGTAAATGATGAATTTTCCTAGGACTCTTGATTCTATGCTGGCTTAGGCTATACTTATGAAGCCAGTTTCATGTGCATAAAGCCAGGATTTGGGAGGGGTTCCTTTTTCTTTTTAAATGTATTACATCCACCTTTGCCCTTAATATGGCATTTGAACTGATGTTTTGACACTTGATACAAGGTTTGTCCAGTGCGATACCTTTCAGGAACATAGAAAAGTAGAACTGAACATTGAGAATTGGGAACATTTTCCAATGTACTTCTGTAGAAAAGAACTGTCATTCCAGCCTGAGCAATTCAGAATGTTTAAAACATGACTAATCTGTTTTTTAAATGGGCAACTAAGTCATTACATCACATATTTTGAATTTTTGAAGAATTTTTTTTTCCTGTGAAGGACCACGTATCTTTTGGAGTCAAATGTTAACGTATGCAAATCATATGCAGATGAAAGACAGCACGATCCAAAGTGGGCATGGCAACATTTTTTTTTCAGTTTATGCTTAATAACTTGTACAAAAGGATTTAGTTGCTTGTTAGATTGTTAAACTTGATCAAGAGTTTTTGAAATAGCTAATGCTAGTTTGAATCTAAAGTTTGAATATAAGACACTGTAAGCATCAGTGAGGTCATTACTTCCCATTTCTGTCGTAGAATCTTCTTAAGTCTAGGAAACGATAGTACTCTTTTTAATGAGCTGGGGAGCAATGGAAACTATCTTAGCCTAAACCTAAACAATTTCTCCATTTAGCTCAGTATTGTCAGTGGTGGGATTCAAATTTTTTTACTACTGGTTCTGTGGGTGTGGCTTGGTGAGCATGGCTTGGTGGGGAAGGTTACTGCAAAATCTCCATTCCCTCCCTATCAGCTGGGACTCCAAAGCACCATTCTGGTATGGTGTCTGCTGCTCCCAGCAGACACCGTTACCCTGTACCGGGGCATACCTTCCGGAACCCACCACTGGTGTACACCATTTATTTATATAAACATATATCAGTACATTCATATATGGAGTTTTGTATCTCCAGAACTTAATATTAAAAGATTAATTTTGAGCTCTCAGTAAAATAAGCGTACATATGTTTAGGAATCTATCACCAAACATTACTTAGCATATTTCATTGCAGCCTGGCAGCTGTACCATTTTGGTATTACTTAAAAAATTATTGTAAAAGAAATCCAAAAATGAAATCAGACCTGTGAAGTTGTTCAATAAATAGTTTCATGTTGAACCTCCTTATTCAAGTAAGTGAGTCCCATGATCTCCTAGTAGACAATGCACAGGTAGTCATGACCATAATTGAGACCAGAATTTCTGCTGTTAAGTGATGCAGTTTTAAGCTCAATTGTGTAACTATTTTGTTAGTCATTAAGTCATTAAGTGAAAGTAGCTTCTTTTTTTTAGTCAAGCTTTTTATTTATATATAAATATTTTGAAGACAGTGTATTGTCCGAGCATTTTGTTTTACGAAAGAAGGGGAAAAATAACATACTGATAGTAATAATGATAATACCCATAATAATTACAACCATATTTATATTTACATTAGCTTATTTATGATCATATTAATTGTAATAGCATGCTTATAATTATAAACAACATTCATATTTTACTTTACTCCTTTATCTATTATTTTCAATGTCAATCTATCCATCTCTGCACAGTCCAATATTTTCCGAATTATGTTTTCATCTGGTGGGGTGTTCTCATTTTTCCAATATTGTGCAAATACAATTCTTGCTGCTGTTAATACATGTAGCATTAAGTATATACCGGTAGTCCCTTTATCAAAACTTTCTGAAATTATACCTAATAAAAATATTTTTATTAGGGAAAGTAGCTACATCTACTGACTTTGCTTTGGGAATGTCACACGTGACAATCACATGATTCTGGGACGCTACAACTATTGCAAATGCACACCTGAATTTTTTTTAACCACATGACTGTAGGAATTCTGCAAAAGCCATAATTCACTTTTTTAAGGGCCATCATATGTTTGAATGGTCACTTAGTTGAGGACAACCTGTATTTTCAACTTGAACCTCTGAAACAAAGCTGTAATGGGACCTCATATTTTTATAAATTGGGGACAATTTCTAATTTCCTAGTTGAATGCATATGTATGTTTCCAATTAATCTTCTCCCTGTAAATGATCAAATTGAGAATGAAGCAAAAGGCTCTGAAATAGCACTGGGTTTAGTGTTAGGACAATGTAAAAATAAACATGTTTAAGAAACACTTTCATAAACATTCCTTGACCTGGATTCCATACTGTATTATCATAATCATTACAACTCAAGTGCTGTGTTGTATAAATGTATGCAGAAGAAAACAATAGCAATATTGTAATCTGAATTTTGGTGTTAATTGTAGAATGGTAATACAAGTCCCAAGCTATTTTACAGTAGACAAGAAGAACATAGAACAACAGAGTTGGGAGGGACCTTGGAAGTTATCTAGTCCAAGCCCTGCTCTAGCAGAAGACCTTATACCATTTCAGACAAATGGCTGCCCAGTATCTTCTTAAAAGTCTCCAGTGATGACACACTCACAACTTTTGAAGCCAAACACTTCCACTGTTTAATTAGTTCTAGGTTGCTTCTCTCCTTGATTAGTTTCCAGCCATGGTTTCTTGCCTTGCCATCAGGTACTTTTGAAAATAGTTTGACTGCTTCATCTCTGTGACAGTCCTTCAAACATTGGAACACTGTTATCATGTCACCCTTGGTCCTTCTTGTCAGACCCAATTCTTGGGTTCTTCATATGTTTTAGCCTCCAGCACTCCAGTCATCCTTGTTGCTCTTCTCTGCCCTCTTTCCAAAGTCTAAATATCTTTTCATATTGTGGTGACCAAAAGTGGATGCAGTATTCCAAGAAGAAAGACTTAGGAGAGGAGTGGAAAGAGAGCAATTAAGCGAATTGTGAGAATGCCGTTTCTAAATCTATTATGTAATAAAGAGCATGTAGAGAGTATGAAAATGCTCTGTTGAAAGTATGATAGAGCTTTTGTGTGCTAAGCCATAAAGTGGTCTGCATGCTTAATCTGGCATCACTTACCGTAGTTAGGTTTATTCTATAAACCACATTTACGGCTTCTTAAATAAACCATGAATGACAATGCTAGAGATGTATTTGGTAAAACACAGGTCTTTATTTCTAAGTCTACTGAAAGCTAATTCTAGTTGATAGCCTTTGAGGTTTCAGGAAAAAGGCAACATGAGATCCATCAAACTTGGGTTTTCCCCTTTATTCCTGCTAGTTAATTAGTGCTGATTTCTGCTCAGTGTACAAAATTGGTCTAAATAGGCTGAAGCTGGCAAGTACAATCTAGTATAATCTATTCAGAAGGCCCCACAGCAATTTGGTTAATTAATGTTACCAGTAAACTAGAAAAATATAATTAAGATTAGTATTTAGTTCAGTATGAGATAGCTGCATAAGCTAACTTGGAATCCGTTTTCTCTCTAGTTGAAAATTGTTCCTCTTGCAGACATATGCTGGGGATTCACAATGTGGAATTAATGCTAAAATAAAGACTATCTGTGCACGAACTCGTAATCTGTGCATACAGATCTTGCATGCTTGACCTTGGGCTTTGAAAATATTTTTCCAAACTTGAGCCTTGGTGAAGATAAATGTAACCAATTGTTTTTTCAACAAAGAGCAGAATTTAAAAAGAGAACAACAGTATCAGGAGATATATAAATGTGGAGTCATTCAGCCCAATGGAAGAGAATGGCCTTCAAGGACCCATTGGAGCTTAACAAATTATTGACCCTCCAAAGATATAGCAGAATATTCATATAGGAGATTTTCTCCTGTTTTCCAGAAAAACACAATTTTTCTGCTTGATCAACTGGATCTGACTTCAACTTGCCTCAATAGTAGGCTTGCAATGTGATGGCATTTTCTTAGGACATGTAGAAGCAACCTAGAACTAAGGAGAAATTTCCTGACAATTAGAACAATTAATCAGTGGAACAACTTACCTCCAAAAGTTGTAAATGCTCCAACACTGGAAGTTTTTAAGAAGATGTTGGATAACCATTTGTCTGAAGTGGTTTAGGGTTTCCTGCCTAAGCAAGGGGTTGGACTAGAAGTCCTCCAAGGTCCCTTCCAACTCTGTTATTCTATTCTTTTCAAGAAATAATAAACAAGCTGTCTCATAGCCCAGATAGGGTGCCTATACTATATGGATGAGTCTCAAGAGTACAAGAAAGACAGTACAGGAATCAGTGTTGTTATGATATCTTGAGTTAAGCATTTGAAGCTTTGTACAGCAGAGTAATTTACCTTCAACTGAGGTCATAAAATAACCAGCAGAATTTTGTTTCAGTTTTTCCCAGTAATATTGCCATTTTTGCCACAGAATTCAGAAAGGAAGTTTTATGAGCAATGCAGCTAGAGCTGATAATCTAACATCAATAGAAACTGTGAATGTTTTATCCCAAAGGTATTTTTTCAAAAGGCAACTGGCCTTTTTTTGTTTTTTGCTTGACGACATTTCGCTTCTCATCCAAGAAACTTTTTCAGTTCTGACTGAATAGTGGAGAGGGAAGAATTTATATCCCATGCAGAATATACTGAATAAACTTTTTGGATCATCTTCGAGCAAAGAATAAAAAACAAAGAAGTCCACTTGCCTTTTGAAAAAGCATCTTTGGGACAGGACAACCATGACCTGGATGACTGAGAATCTCCAGAGACATGTGAGCATTTCACATGACTTTTCTTATCCGATTTCCAGATTAGCTGTGTCACCTTCACTTTTAAAAGCCAGTTTCCAGCTGTCATTTAATTGCATAACACATGTTTTAAATTATATGTTTATAATTGTTTCTTTCCTTTTAAAGGTGGTCATGAGCCATATATTGAAATACATGAGCAACCTAGACAGAGAGGGATGCGTTTTCGATACAAATGTGAAGGAAGATCAGCAGGCAGTATTCCAGGTGAACATAGTACTGATATCAACAGGACGTTCCCATCTATACAGGTATACATATTACTGTGTCTGCTTGCTCTTTCGCCCACCCCATTTTTTTTTAAATTGGGAGTTGGGACTGTTTTGCTCAAAAGGCAAGGATTGTACAATATAGTACATTGTTTAAGATCCTATTTCTTCAGGAAAAATTTGTTGGAAAGGTGCTGGGAAGATTAAATTTGATTTCTCATTTGTTCTTGCTCTTATGTTCTGAAACTCAAATTATGTAACAATCCCATAAATACAAATAATATTGGAAAAGGCTACCTTAAAAAGGCGACCCTCAGAATGGTATTGAAAAAAAGCTTGTTGTAAAGGGACTATGTAGCTTTTTTACAACTTAACAAAAGTAGAAAGCATTGCAGTTCTGCAGGGATAGAAAGTTCTCTGAGTGCAGGACTATGGCCATGTAAATTGTGGTAAGTCATGATTTGTTTAACCATAATTTATTGAATAAATCATGGTCACACCACACACTAGTCCATGTATTGGACAACTTTAATAGGTGTGGTCTTCAATTCCTAGAATTCCCCAGCTAACGTGTGGAGTTAGCTGGGAAATTGAAGTCCACACTTCTTAAAGTTGTCAAAGTTGAGAAATATTGCACCATTTCAAGGGATAGGCACCCTACAAGTAATAATAATAATAATAATAATAATAATAATAATAATAATAACAACAACAACAACAACAACAACAACAACAAACTAACTAACTAAATAAATAATAGCAATAGGGATAGGACTTATATATTGCTTCATAGTGCTTTACTGCTCTCTCTAAGTAGTTTACAGTCAACTTATTGCCCTCAACAATTTGGACCCTCATTTTACCGACCACAGAAGGGTGGAAGGTTGAGTCAAACTCCTGACAGTCAGCAGAATTAGCTGCAATACTGCATTATAATGACAGCGCTACCACAGATAACCAAAATAAACCAGAATTTTCATTATGATTCTTGTTTTGCATGAACTCAATAAGAAAGAAGAATTATCCTTTAGGTATACTGCTCTGAGACTGCTGCTTTAAATCCTGCTCTGAGGATTTAAAGATTACAGTGAGCCTTTTGAAGCAAACCTAGAAAAGGATTGACAAATCCACTCTCTCTCTCTTAAATTAAAATAGTATATAGAATCGTTTATCTCAATAGGTGAATACAAAAATCCAAGAACCACGCATCAGAGATAGAGGGAAAAGTCTAGCAGTGCCAACAATTGCCAGTCAGGATGTTGGCATAGTTTCAGGATTATTTCTTTATTTCCTTATAGGTATATCAAGGAAGGAAAATCACTGTCATTTAACCTAAACATCAGAATGTTTCATAGCTTTGACTGGAAGGAAAAAAAAATCATTCAGAAAGATTTGAATTTCTGATGAAAGTCCTGATTAGCCAGCTTCCATACTATTGCTCTTAGGCTACCCTCCAACTAGCAATCCTTGTCCATTCCTGGATCTCACCAGCAGAAAAATAAAATGGAGAAACAAGGTCCATTCTAGTCGCACCTGGGCTATGTCTGTAGCCATAATATTTGTAATGATTTGTACAGCACCCTTCTCTTATCTAGGGATCCTCTAGGTTAAGTGGACTTTATCAGTGGTGGGATTCAGCCAGTTCGCACCACTTTGGGAGAACCAGTTGTTAACTTTCTGAGCAGTTTGGTGAACTGGTTGTTGGAAGAAATCATTAGGGCAGAGAACTGGTTGTTAAATTATTTGAATCCCACCACTGACTTTACTGTCCATAATTCAGCTACTTCTAGCTAGGCAAGGTGGGGAATGCTGGGAAGGTATTTAGGTGTTGCCTTGGTTGGAGAATGCCACTGTACAGGTTGTATCACATATTTTCCAATAATCTCAGTTTATCAGATAACTGAGTCAGGAAGAAATTCTGATCTTTGTGTGATGGAATTTTGCCAAAATAAAGAGCATAACTCTCAGGAGAAAAACCATGTTTATCGCAATAATCATTGGGTGCTTCATTTACAAGAAAGAGGAACGCTGAACAATGGAAAAGCCAAGATTTTTAGAAGGATTTAGCAAAGATGGCAAAACTTACTACTTTGATCTAAGACAAAATCCTATCTAGTTTTATTTCTGTTTGGAGACCCCTTTTGGATTTCTTCCTTGAAAAAGATAAAATTGAAGTTTTGATTTTATGATTTGATAATTAGATTTGTTATAATTATACAAGTGTTGTGCATAATTTTACATAATTATGTACATAATTTTAATATTATTTTATTGTTTTTAATTTATATATTTTAATATTATTTTATGTTACTTTACTGCAAGAGATTACTATATATTTGTACCTGTACTGAAGAAAGTTGGAAGTCAACCTTTCTTTTTGTCACTTTTTAATTCACCCCCTTTTGATCCTTTCCCCCCCAGTTTTTCGCCTTTTGTTATTTTGTAGTTTATATGACTTTTAAATTTAATAAAGTTAATTTTCAAAATACACATAATTCTAAAAAAAATCTGCAGCCAGTTTGGACCTGTCTCTTAAGAGTTTTAGGCAAAGAAAAGTCACAGAAATAATATCTACCTATTGTTCAGTTTCGTTCTACGAAAGCCATCAGAGATTGAAGCCAAGACTTTCCTGCATTAAAACATGTACATTTGATGCTTCCCTGATAGGTTTTTACCTCATGCAGTTGAGTAAATCTTATCCTCAGATAAGTGAGTTTAGGATTATATCTTCAGACACTAATTCTATATCCACTTGCCTGGGAGTAAGCTCTACTAATTTAAATGGGACTGTCTTCTGTATATGAGTTATGTGGTGTATTAATTGATTAAATAAGATAGGAAACACACTAAACTATGTTTTATTGAATAAAGCACCCTGGGTTCACACAGAACATTTCATTGTAAAACATAAGGACTGATTAAAATGAAATTAACCAAGCTAAAAGTAATAATAAACTTTTACAAAAAAGAAAAAGAAATTAAGCAAGCTACATTGTTTGATTTAACATTGAAACTAAAAGGTTGTAGAATTTTGGAAAACGTGGAAGATCTTAGAATCGTAGAATTGGAACAGGTCATTAAAGTATTACGTGTCACTGTATCTCTTGGTCAGTGCAGGATTCCTAGTCAAAGTGTTTCATTGGAACACATCCAGATAAAGAGAATCCATTATTTCATTTGATAATTGTAACACTATTCAGTACTTTTGCTGTCCTTAACATCTTGCATTCTGAGTTGATAATGTATGTCACACCTCTTCATATATCTGCAAACTCCTATCATATTTTCTCTCAGTCATTACTGGCTCTCCACAAACACAGTCCCTGTATGTTTTATGCACACTGCCATTTGTTCACAACATATATTTACTTCTAAATAAAAGCAGATCGATATCATTTTGAAATTTGTTCAGAATATTTTTATTTTTCTGTCTAGTTTTCTATTGTAACCACTTCTGTAATTTGACAATCCTTATGTTTTACCTGTTCCACTATTATAATTTTGAATGTAACTATTTAAAGTAAATAAGAATTGTTACATTATTTCTTTTCATTTTAAGCTAGATTTTCTTTCTCTCATGTGAGATTGAATGATCTATCTCCCCATAAAGAATGGGACACTTATTTCAGAATCCATATCATTCAAAGTTACAAAGTTAGGAGTTGACACTCTAGAATTTATTTCAATTTTTTAATCTTTTATATCTGTGGAAGTTTTGTGCTTCTTTTGAACCATCATTAGCAAGAAGGTTATCAAAATAAGTTGTGGCCACAAGAATTAACTAAGCAAAGCTAGGGTGTATAGACCCAGAAGGGTTCTGAGAAAGTTTGCAATTTATAACCTTTCAATCTAGGACAGTGTTTCTCAACCTTGGCAACTTGAAGATGTCCGGACTTCAACTCCCAGAATTCCCCAGCCAGCGAATGCTGGCTGGGGAATTCTGGGAGTTGAAGTCCGGACATCTTCAAGTTGCCAAGGTTGAGAAACACTGATCTAGAAGCTTAATTCTATCTTTATACTTATGCTTTGTGTTTCATTTCTTTTTAGATCTTGAACTACTTTGGGAAAGTAAAAATCAGAATAACATTGGTAACTAAGAATGAACCCTATAGGCCGCATCCTCATCAGTTGGTTGGAAAGGATTGTGAAAACGGTTACTATGAAGCTGAATTTGGACCTGAGCGTAGAGTTTTGAGGTAAGTAAGTGGGTGTTGTTATATGTGATATGAAACAGAACTAATATTTTTTTCCAGTTTATTGTTGCAGATTCTGACATGTTATGTTGAGTGGTCCCATAATGATAGGCAAGACAAATATCCATTTGGAAAGTGAGCTACAAGCTTCAACTTTCTTCAAGGCATAGGGGATGCCCATATTATTTTCGAACTCACTCCAAAAACTCAGAGAATGTTTTAAAACATGCAAAAAATTTATTCCACTGTTCTGAGGAGTGCAGAAAGGATGCTGGTGGAACTCACTTTTTGTAGCCCTGTTTTAAGTAAAGCTATCCATGGGGACCTGGATACTAGTTGAAGTATTGCAGCCCTTTTCTTTCCTTGACTTCTTAATAGATGTTTATTTAATTACCAGTACTTTCTACTTCTCCAGATGGGGAAAATTAACAAACATCCCAGAGTATGGCAAACTTAAAATAGGCCTCCGTCTTGGGTACCAGTTACAAAGTTCTTTATTATACTATCCCCAGCTGAAAAAGTAGCAGCTGAGTGAGCAGTGAACAGTTAGAAAGTGCTGAGGCCAATTTGTATATTTTGGTTGTACTTATATGCAAAGTCTGAAATATCCCGCCTGAAAGATCTGTTTTCTTATGATATTTATATATGATATAGTATTTTCTTATGAAATTTAAATATGTTTGATTTCACGTAAGAGAAAGAGTACAGACACTGGAACCACGGAGTTGGTGTTGTTTGAAAACTAATATACTAAAGTAGACATTGAGATCCCCAATTGCAATCAGCTTTTTAAAAAATTAAATTTATTCCAGAGGAAAACCTTTTCCAATATTTTTGCCCAGTGTAAGAAGCTTCCAGCCTTGAGATCACCCAGGCTGATGTACATCCCCACATGACTGGTGGCCTTCCTTCCTTGTGTTGCTCCTTCTCAATCTTCTTTATATTCCTGTGCTTAATGAGAAGGACACCTCTAGCCTCAACATACTTGGAAGAGTACTCCTACTGCCAGAGCAGGAAAAAAAGCAATATATTTGAAGACTGCTGTAAGAATAGGCTTCTATTTCGCTCCCTCCTGCCCCTCCCCAGTAGAGAAATGTAGAAAGGAAGGTATACTCTAAACCAAGGGTCTCCTACCTTGGCAACTTTAAGCCTGGCAGAGTTCAACTCCCAGAATTCCCCAGCCAGCAAAGCTTAAAGTTGCCAAGGTTGGAGACCTCGGCTCTCAACATCAACCCAGGTTGCCAAGTGCATCTGAAATAGCAACATTTGATGTTCTTCCTCATAACAGGAAAAGAGAACACTGAAGAAAGCTTATTCCTCAAAAGCTGAAGGACTAATAATAGATTGGAAGGATTAGAAGAGACCTTGGAGATAAGTACTAGCCAGGCAACTAACCTGTGGCCAGTACTGTAATCCACTACTGCATTGTTTCTACTTCATGGCTATCCATGCTTAAACTTACAGAAAAAGCAATTCTACTATCTTCTGAGGCAACATGTTCCAGTGCTGAAAATTTCTCATTAGAAAATTATTTCTAAAGCCCAAATGAAATCTGCTTCCTTCTCATTTAAACTCACTTTTTCTTGTCTTCTGTTTGGCAGCCCTTCAAATACTTGAAAGCAGCTGTCATATCTCCCCATGATTTTCTCTTCTTCAGGATAAACATTCAATGCCTCCAACTATTCCTCATCAGGGTTTTGTTTTGTTTTTAATTCTAGGCCTGTTATTATCTTAGTTGCTATCCTTTGGACATGCTCCAGTTTGCCAGTGCCCTTCATAAAGGTGCCCAGCTGGATACTGGATAAAATATTGTAGGTTGATCTGACCAATGCCAATTAGAATTAATGACTCTGTATTTCTGTTGATGTTATCTTGAGTTGCATTCACTTTTTCTCAGGTGCATCACACTGTTCAATATCCTGCTTGTGATCCACTAAGATACTCAGAACTTTCTGTCATATATAGTTGCTACGTAAGTTTGTCTACTCATGTTTTAGAATTTCTTATCCAAATGAAGGACTTCATATTTCTCCTGTTGAAGCTTGTTGGCTTCCCCTCAGTTTTTCAGCTCATCATGATCTTCCTGAATACTAATACTTTTTCTAAGGTGTTAACTTTTCCTCCTGCTTTTGTACTGTCTGAAAACTTGATAATTGTGTTTTTAAACCCCTCATCCAAGGGACTGATAAATATGAACAATGCGGGGCCTTCTGTGTAGAATGCAGCCCAGTGGTATGGCATTGTTACTGCCTTCAATCTTGATGCAGAATCATTGACATACAGTACATTTATTAGATATCATTGGTCAACCAGTTAAACAATGGATTCTTTTCTACATGTTCACAAACTGACTGTTTAATGATCATCTCCAGAGTTTTGCCAAGCATGAGCCATGGTAGTACAGTGGTTAGAATGCAGCACTGCAGGCTACTTCTGCTGACTGCCGGCTGCATTTGAAGACTTAACTGCATTTGTGCTGGTGCAGTGCTCCCTACCTTTCTCTAATTCACCAAGTCCTTCCTTGCCGAAGGAGATTATAGATTTATTACTTCCATGGTTTTTGTGGAATACCCTTCTTCCTAATTCAGCTGCTTTCTGAAAGTCAACATTATTCAACACAAAGTAGTTCAGAGAGAAATTATACTATGAAATTGCTGTCATTTAAAAGAAAAACTGGCTGAACTGAAAGGTTTAACTGAGATTGGAATTTTTCACTTGCAAGCAGTATCACAGATGACTTCATTGCCAATGAGTGCTGTTCTAAATGTTTACTCAAATGTGTCATTCATAAAAAGTTTTGCTCAGAGACATCACAAATATCATGAGTGGTTTTTACTTTTTTCCCCCTTTGTGTACAAATTTACATGGGATGAAATGATTTCTACAGTGTGGAAACTTGTGGAACACTAAAGCACAATTGAAATCACACTTCTAGAGTTGAACAACCTGGGAGTTGTTCTGAGTTTACAAGTGTAGATTTGGAGTATGGGAAAGGTTACATATTTGTCTATTGTGAGATTCTCTCTTCTGATAGATTAATCATTCAGAGATTCATAAATCTTTTGCTCTAAGAGGCTTCTTTTGCTCTATCTCCAGGTAATATGGCAATTACCGATCCTCAGGAATATCAACACTTGGATAGGTGGCGAGCAAGATTTTGACTCTTCTTTAATCTGTTCTGATTTCTCATGTAGCAATTATCTGGTATTAATTCCTATTTTGCATCTTCCCTGGGCTGGAGTGATGTCATGGGTTTTCCATGTGGGAAAGAATCAGGTTGCTGAAGTAGGTGGGGAGAGTCCCTTCAAGCTGCCTTGTGATCTGATACCATTACATGCAAATTAGGAAGCTGATGCTATTGTCGCTAGTTTTCAGAATCTCACCAGACAAGTAACCTGGCCATAGTAATTTTTTCTCATAATTACATGATTCAGAATCACTCCTCCCCCTCTGTCAGAAAAAAAAAACAAATTTGAACTAATTGTCTGTGGGCTTTTTTTCTTTAACTTGGTGATAAATGAACAGCTACACTCCGTTAGAAACTTAGAGAAGAAAGATACTTCCCTCTCTGGGAATATATAAATATCATACCTCTTTCAACCTATTATGATAATGTTCCTGTTTCCTCTGAAAGTGAGGGAGGTATCTAAAATCCAGAACTGCAATCCTATGCCTACTTATTTTAGAACAAAATGTTTCACCAAACTCTGGGGAACTTCCTCCTAAGCAAATATGCACGCAATATAGATCTTAGGGATTGAAGAATTTTATGACGTAATTCACTACATATCTATTAAGAAGCCATTTTGCTCACTGCAGTTTCAGACAATGGACTATTGGATTCGGTCTCAATCAGTCAAATCGCTGGCTTTTGGTAAATTTTCTACCTGTGTGCACCCAGTAATGTTCCTGGAATTTACTCCCAGGCAAATATGTATAATAGTGTAGCCTTCTTCTCTTTAATCAGAAGATGAATCATCTAACTGAAGAACAATTTAAACATTTAAGTGTGTAATTGAAGGGTGGTTTTTTTAAAGAGACACTTCTGCAATGTTACTAAGATAGAAAAAGGAAATGTGAAAGATAGTATTGCTTCTGAATAAGCTACCGTAATTCTTGTTTAGTCAGGTTTTGATTGATTACCGTATCTCCCATAAAGTCAGTATCGAATTTTACTGACCACATAGATTTTCTCCAGAAGGCTCTGATTCCAGTCTGTGCCTTAAAGTCTTCCACTGTTAGGGCTAAAATTGAGGCTATCCATATTACAGTTGCTTTTCCTTTTCCTTTGTTTCCTTTGACCTTTTCCAACTTTATAGATTTATTCAGAGAGCTACATCTTTGCATTATGTACCTCAAATAGGATAATTTGAGTCTGGATATTGCATCTCAAGGGAGAAATCTAGGTTAATTCATTTAACTAACCATTTAGAATAGAATAGAATAATAGAGTTGGAAGGGACCATTTTAGACAAATGGTTATCCAACATTTTCTTAAAAGATGGAGCATTCACAACTTCTGGAGACACGTTGTTTCACAGATTAATTATTCTGTCAGGAAATTTCTCCTGACTTGTTTGTTTGTTTTTTTATATTGGTAAAATATGTATTCTGTAATGCTTGAAAATATTTTCAGATGAGGACAATATGTTAGTATTTAATATTTAATTGGTCAATTAATTGAATCAAGAACATATGCTAATTAAATATAGCTGTCTTTAAACACCTGGCATCTCTATTTTCAAACCAGTATTCAGTTCTACTTAAATTACATAGTAATCTTCCTCAAGGATCCCAACAAAATATATTTTTTTCAGTATGAAATCTATATACTATTAAAAGTCTCATTGTATTTATCTGTTTGCATTTTCAGGTTAGGCTAAATGCTGCATTATACCACAACCTAAAATCTGCTAATAAAATCTGCTAATTTAAAAATCTGGGACCCATTACTCCGGTTGAATTAAAATTTCCATGATGTTCAGATCAGTTCTACAGGCAGTTATCAACTTACGACAACCGGGAACATAATTTTAGTTGCTAAGCAGTGGGGTTGCTAAACATGACTGGACCAATTTTACAACTATTTTTATTATGATCGTTAAGCAAATCCTATGATCATTAAGTAAATTATGTGGTTATTAAGCAAATCTGGCTTCCTGGATTAACAGAATAACAGAAAAATAGACTTGAAAAGGATCTTGGAGATCTTCTAGTCCAGGGATGTCAAAGCCCATCACATCTCATGATGTATCGGAATTGTTTTTGCTCTGGTGGGGCGGGGATGGGCCTGCACAGGTCATATCCGGCCAGTGAGCCATGTGTTTGATACCCCTGTTCTAATCCAACCTCCTGCTCAACAGGAAACCATATACTATTTCAGACAAATGGTTGTCCAATTTCTTCTTTAAAACCTCCAATGTTGAGCATCCACAACCTCTGGAGGCAAGTCTTTCCACTGATTAATTGTTCTAACTGTGAGGAAATTTCTTGTTAGTTCTAGGTTGCTTCTCGCCTTCATTAGTTTCCACCCATTGCTTCTTGTCCAGCCCTCAGGAGAATAGTTCGACTCCCTCTTCTTTGTGGCAGCTCCTGAGATATTGGAATACTGGTATCATGTGTCCCCTAGTCATTTTCATTAAACTGGACATGCAACCATTCTTCAAATATTTTAGCCTCCAGTCTCCTAAGCATTTTTGTAATTCATCTCGGCACTCTTTCTAAAATCTCAATATCTTCTTTGTATTGTGGTGACCAAAAGTGGATGAAATATTCCAAGTGTGGTCCTACCAGGGCATTAAAAAATGGTACTAATATTTCATATGATCTTGATTAGTGATTAATTAATCAAGTTAATGGTTGATTAATGGTTGGTTAATGCAGCCTAGGGCTGTATTGACTTTTTTGACAGCTGCAACACACTGCTGGCTAATATTTAACTTATTGTCCTTTTAAATTGCAGTTACTACTATTGAGCCAGGTACCACCTATTCTATACCTGTGCATTTGTTTTTTTCTTGCCTAAATGTAGACCCAAATGTAGATTTGATGTAATTTTCTCACCATTGAATTTCATTTCATTAGATAGGGCCCAGTGTTAAGATCTGTCAAGATCCTTCTGTATCTTGAGCCCATCTTCTAGAGTGTTGGCTATTCCTGCCAGCTTGGTGTCGTCTGCAAATTTGATAAATTCCCCTTCCGTCCCCTTGTCAAAATCATTGATGAAGATATTGAAGAGTACTAGTCCTAAGACAGAGCTTTATGGTATCCCAGTGCAGACTTCCCTCCATGTAGATGCAGTTTCATTAAGAACTGCACATTTAGTGCACTTGGTCAGCCAATTACAAATCCATCTGCTGGTGATGCTGTCTAACCCACATTTTTCTACCTTATCAAATATAGATTGTCAAATTGTCAATCCTAATTGTAATCACTAAACAAGAACTACCTATAATATCTACAAGTCATTATTTGGGCTTTGAACAAAACCTAATGGAAAGGAAGAGAAGCAAAGCATGTCTTTTCATTAAGCAGATGATATGCTGCCAAATGCCAATTTCATCTTATTCTTCAAGTCTTTCTAAAGAACTATAACGCCCTGATGGGGATTAGAATCTAATGTTCACATAAGGAAACATGGGTGTTTGATTTTATGAGCTTGTTCTTCTTAACAGCCCATCTGATGCTTCCAGAGAATCAGGCTAATTTGTGGTTGCTGAGTTTGATCTTTAAAACCCTTCATGGCTTAAGGTTGGGTTATATCTGAGGGACTACATCTTCCTGATTAATATATCTGTCCCATCAGTTCCAAGGCATGCTTTGTGTCCCATCTGTTAAGGAAGCTCAAGGAAATGTGTCTCCACGGTATCTGCCAAATGGAACATTCTCCCCATTTCACACACATCCCATTCTCCCCGGACGACAGCTCCTTCCCTCCTTATATTCCAGAAGTTCCTCAAAATATGGGGGTCTCAGGAACTGGTGAGATTTTGGGGTAGCTGCCTTGGTGATTGGATTGAATTGCATGTGTGTGTATTTAATACGACTATGTTTGACATGTTTATTATGTTATATTTTAATTACAGACTGTCCTGAATCACTTCTTGTGTGATGGGTAGCTACATAAATAAATAATTAGAGTGAGACATTCTAATCTCAAATGCTTTTTGAGGGCTTTTGCTCATTTTTATCACAAACAGATTGTTACTTTCCTATCCCTAACTAGATGGACATTTGATATAATTTAGTATAACTCTTGTTATGGCCGCTTCTGTTCTTCTTTGTCACTTATTTTAAAAAGAAAAATTATGTGTCTCTTTTGGTGTGGCATTTAAATGTTTGAAAGTGGGTAATAACCAGGGGTGGGCTGTTGGAGATTCGCAGGGATTCAGGAGAACCTCTAAACAAGATTCTGTGCAGTTCAGAGAACTTCCAAATCTCCCTCCTGGCTGGCCCCGCCCACCCCTCCCCTCCCAGGAGTCCCACATGGCCCATTTTGGATGCAAGTAAGTGCAGGGCCTCCGGAACTTGAGGAGGGCAAAAACACACATACCCCTCTGTGGTGCAGGAGGCCAACTAGGCCATGGCCACCATGGCCACGCCCACCCAGCAACCAGACAGAGAACCCCTTGCTAAAAATTTTGAAGCCCACTTCTGGTAATAACAGGCAAATTACTATGATGGCATCTATTTTAGTCTTAGGCAGGATCTCATCAAATCTTCTTAATGTAAAGTATTTGTCAGAATTAAAATCCCATGATTCATTTTGCTACTAATATGATAGAGTTCCTATAGTTGTATCATTGTTATATTTATTATAAGTATCTAACTCTCAAACGTATTTGCTACAGTTTTCAGAACCTGGGCATTCAGTGTGTGAAAAAGAGAGAACTCAAAGAATCCATCATTTCACGAATTGCTAAGAAGATCAATCCATTCAATGGTAAGTAACCACTGATTATTAATTACATTAATGACTGTTGAGACTCCCTAATCATTTGCTTTTCAAACATTTTTGAAATATTGATTCCCTTAATGTATATCAAACCATATTAAAACAATGTTCAAGTTTGTCAAGATCCTTCTGTATCTTTAGCCAGAAGATACAGAAGGATCTTGACAAACTTGAACATTGGCCACTATCTAATAAAATGAAATTCAGTGGTGAAAAGAGTAAGATTCTACATTTAGGCAACAAAAACGAATGCACAGGTACAGTATAGGTGGTACCTTGCTCAAAAGTAGTAAGGGATCTTGGAGTCCTAGTGGACAACCATTTAAATATGAGCCAGCAGTGTGCAGCAGCTGCCAAAAAAGCCAACACAGTTCTAGGCTACATAAACAGGGGGACAGAATCAAGTTCACATGCAGTGTTAATACCACTTTATAATGCCTTGGTAAGGCCACACTTGG